TACTTCCCTACGCAGTCCCCTTCTCTAGAGATTACTCCTTTCCCTAACTCTTCTCTGGTGTTTTCATGCTGAGCTGGTCCCTCTCCGTCCCTGGCACATGCCCGTCCTTGACAGGGGTTCCCGCCCGAGATGCGCAGGGAGCTGGTCTTAAATTTTTTCTCCGGGTTTTAGCTTGATTTTAGCAGATGTCGGGGGGTTTGCCAGTCTTTGATTTTTCGTTTAAACTGTGTGTGTGTTCGTGTAAAACGGATTAAACCCCACATCCAAGCGCTGCTTGGTGCAGCCAAGCACCGCAGGTGCTTGTGGCCGTTCCGTGGATCCCAGCGCCGGCACATGCTGCATGGGCGCGCAGGGAGCGCGGCTGGAGGGTATATTAAACCCCCGTGAGCAGGAGGGGAATCAGCTCTTCTTTCTAGGGTTCTTAAGCCCAAACCTCGGGGCTGGAGTCACTGCCAGAGTAAGGGAGAATCAGATAGTTTCAAGTCTTTGATTTTCTCCTTCGAATTTTCCCTACCTCGGAGAGATCCGTGAGCAGCAGGGAGAGAAACACGGGGGAAGTGGGCGTGGGACCCGCGTGCAGGCCGGCAGCACCTCTTCAGTGTCGCGCCGTGCCTGCCCTGGAATATTTGCCAAACAGTCCCGGAAGAATTTCAGCTGAAAAGGTCATTATCCTCTTTTCTTTTTTCTTAATTTTTTTTCTTGAGCTTTTGTGCTCTAATCCTCCTACTCAGTAACGATTGTACCGAATCTATACAGATGATTTCACCATTTTTTCTTACCTCTATTAAGTTTCTCTGTTCCATGTTTCACTAAAGGTTAGGCAGGCTCAATGCCGAAGATTCTGTGATGCTTAATCGTATTTTCTAATTCAGTTACATAAAGAATAAGTGAATTAGATTAAAAATGCCTGGAAATTTGGTTCTCGGATGACAGCTGTGACTAAAACCAGAGTTCCTGCAGTAGTCTAATTTCAGGAAAATTTCCCCTTGTTACTACATAACTGGAGGTCGAAGATGCTATTCTGCTCTGGAATGGTGAGATGAGCATCAATGGCACCGTATTCCTCTCACCACTCAGAAATATCCCAGCTAGGGCACATAGGCGTTGTGCTGTATGCACGACTTGGGGAAGTACAGTGGACTTCACCCAGCTGCTTGAAAGAGGAGAAACCCATCTCCATCGCCGGGGCGCCGAGAAGTCTTCAGGTTCCCAGGCTCCTGGCCTGGAGCAGCGAGCGAGGAGGGGAGGTGGCTCTCGGAACGGAGGGCGGGGGCACCCCGCGGCCAGGGCCGGGCTCGGGGGTACCGCAGCGCTGCGGCTGCCCGCTCCTCAGCCCCTCCCTTCCTTTTGAGTCCCGCTCCCGCCGAGGGCGCCGCTGCGGGAAAAGCCCAAACGCTGCTGGCAGCAGGAAGCGGAGAAGAAAGAAGTTTCCTTCTAGCGCTACAACGCCTGAGTTAGCGCAGCCTGAAGAGCGGGGTCTCGCAGGAGTCCTGCGGTCTGCGGTCCCTGGGAGGGAGGAGGGGATTATCCAGTTCAGTCCAAGGAATATGTGAAAAACAAGTCTGCTGTCAGTTGCTATGTATGTGCAATATGGGTGGCCGCAAATTGTGAGGAGACATACATAGACTGCCTAAAAATTTGAGAATCACTGACAAATCAGTGCTTTCTTGCCGTACTGTACCATATCATGCTGTGATGTACTGTACTGCACCGTTCCATACCACATCTGTTAAATCTGGTTTGCTGTAACTTCGTTCCCCTTTTCACAGGTAGTACACTAGATTGCACAACATGCTGTAAGTCTGGCTAAAATGCCCTCAGAACCTCTCTAGAGAAGACAGTATTGATAAGAAAACTCTATAGCCCCCTTAACGATCTGAGAAATTTGTAGTGCATCTAATCTTACAATACCATTTATTTTCCCTATTCTATAGATAAGAGACTGAGTCATAGGGAGATCAAGTGGGTTCCCCTTGCTTACCCAGGAAATCCCCAGTGGAGCTTTGAAGTGACCCCAAATGTCCCAAGCACTCTGCAGTCACACTACCAATTGTCTGCATTTCCCTTCCACACCTTGTTGCAACCCACCATCTTCTCCTCTTGAATCAAAAGAAACTGAAGAAGAAATGCCGTCTCTCCCTTTCTCCTTATTCCTCACATTTCTCAAGAGGATTTTCTGAGGTTTGTTTGGGGTGACTGAGAAAGGTTTGGGATGGCAATCCAAATTGTATCTTTTTCATTTTTTTCCCCTGAAGCTTAAATACACTGTTATTTCCACATCCAAAAATGTTTTGATAAGAGCAAGACATTGAAAGGAAAATAATACTATATAAGCATTCAGATGGAGAAAAGACCCTTCTCCCTTAGGAGTCCTAAGTGAGTCCTCTTAAGAT